CAAAAGTACTGCTCTGTTTACTCTTACCCAAACGCACGGTGCCTCATTCAGGTCATTGACCTCGCTTGAGATTTGATTGACCTCGCTGTAATTCAAGTAACGCTACGACAAGATAGCCTCTATTAGGCGTCGGGAAGCAGTAAGAAAGAGTAGAAATCGAAGGCCAAGTAGAAAGATAACGTGCCGGTGGGGTTGGTCTGATAGAGAGTACGTCAACTCTCTATTTGGCCAATTTCTAACTTTCTACTGTTTCCAGCCGCTTCCCGAAGCCTGGTAGAGGCTAACGACAAGACCTCCCCCAGAAAATTTGGCAGTGTCTGTCCCCCTGTAGTAGGCAGTTCCTATTCACCCCCACCCACTCCACACGTAGGTGGTTCCAGGGGAGGGGGGGGGGGCATAAAGCGCAGTTAGCCGAACACTGCACCTAACCAGGCGCAGACCCGCCAGGCCTAGCCTCCGTTACAGGCTTATAGAACTGGGGTCTTGGTGATCTTCGGCTGTTTTTTTATTAGCCCAGTTCTAAAAAAACCGAGGTAATTTAACCAGGCCGGCTATGTTGTCTATATGCAATCAGAAAATATCACATAAAAGATCTCAAAACCCCAGCTTTTGGCGTGCTATGGAGGCTACGCGAGGCCCAGCCAGGTAAAATTGGCGGTTGAGAGGAAAGTTCAGCGCGTCTCTCCGCCGATGGGAACCAGCAGGCATCCTTGAACCGACCCTCATTCAACCCGACAGCCCGGACCTCTGCTTTGTACCTCTGTCTCCCCGGCCATACGGCGGCGACTTCAAACAGGGAAGTGTACTCCTTGCCGTTCACCTTGAGATTGGAAGACGGTGTTCGGTAATGGAAGACATAAGCCGGGAGAGTAGCGTTACCGTCGGGGGGATGTTTGGAGCTCGGTAAGACATTTCTCAAGTCGTTAAAGCTGCGCCGCCTATCATTACAAGTCGTTATTCACAACGCGGATCTCTATTAACCCCGATACTGGAACAGCCCAGCATTTGTCTAGTTCTTACCGTCGGGCCGTTCGCAGTACTTAGGCCACACTGCCTTAATTTTGTGGATGACATCCCCTGTTCAAAAAAAAAAACACGTCCACCGAGGCTCTGGCCTGGCTCTAGGCCTGGGTAGTCCATGGTAGTTAGCGACAATGCGGAGGCGGAGCTAACTCTGGAGGATGGCACCACTGCTACAGAAGCTCCACGACTCAAGAACTCAGTACATACAGTGCCGATTCATTAATTCCGCAGAAAGCCAGAATGTGACTGCTTGCCGCTGTACTGCCGCGGATTCAAAATACTAGCTTTGTATTTCTGTGGTTTAGTAGCCTTTTTATTTTTGGTCGGAATTTTTTTTATTCGCCGAGGATCTCTATTAACCCCGATACTGGAACAGCCCAGCATTTGTCTAGTTCTTACCGTCGGGCAGGTCTCAGTACTTAGTCCACAGCAAGTCAATTTTAGGGATGACATCCTCCGCAGACTCCAAATCTAATGCGATAGGGCGAAAAAAATATAAGGCGCGACAAAAAAACAAGATTCCTACATTGTCAAATTTTGACCTTGTTAAACAAGAAATGATACCTATGCTGTGCCAAGTTTACTGCCAACTAGTACAAAATTCATTTCTCACTGAAACAACTTTGAAACATATAAGGTTTCAATCATTGTACAAATGGTTTTGATTCAGTAGGAACATCACATATATACACATCCGCCATCACATATAAAAGACAAAACATTAAATCAGAGCCTTGTATTGTCTCCTCTCATCAAATCCATCTGCCATCCACGTTCCGGCATGGCAACAGACATCTTCCCATTTTCATCATGTTGACCACTGTCAGAAGGCAACAAAATTTCTTGTTTTTCCTTCTTTCAAAATCAGACGAAAATCAGTGCGCGCGCTGATGTCATCCATAGAAATTACTTGCTGTGGGCTTATGCAGCCGAGCGGAGCGCCTTTAGCCGCATAGTTCTATCCACCCACGTTGGTGAGGAGGCTTGGAGTAAAATTCTTCGTCTTCCAAGAAATTGGCAATAACTGGCATCTTGGGGAAAAGTTGTGTAAAGTGGCTTTCCCAAGGGCACTCACAACGTCGGGGCATGTAGAATATGGAATCGAACCCAGGACCCATTGGTTCCGGGCCGAATGCCCTAACTTACGCCACACGGCACCCCGAATGATCTTTTTCTCTTGTAGAGAAATTAATGGATGATCCTTGCAGAGAATGGATGATCCTTGAACAAAATAGAGGGGTTTATATATCTTTTCGTGTACCCGTAATCACAAGGGTCAACTACCGTATTTGTCTTGCGTTTTTGTTTGGATGTCCTTCCATAAGAAATTGCATATGTACACAATTGATGGTCTTTATACAGAATGGATGGTCCTTGTACAAAATGGATGACCCTTGTACAAAATAGACCTGCATGGCATCAATAACCTTGAGCTAACTAGAGGGCTTTATATATCTTTTAGTGTACCCTTTGATCGTAAGGTCAACTACCGTATAGTCTGTTAAGACTATTTTTGTTTGGTTATCCTTCCATAAAAACGACCCATGTACAGAATGGATGGCCCTTGTTCAAAATAGACCTACCTACCTACCTATCAATCAGCTTGAGCTAACTAGAGGAGTTTATATATCTTTTCGTGTACCCGTAATCACAAGGGTCAACCACCGTATTTGTCTTGCTTTTTGTTTAGTTGTCCTTCCATAAAAAATTGCCCATGTACAAAATGGATGGTCCTTGTACACAATTGATGGTCTTTATACAGAATGGATGGTCCTTGTACAAAATAAACCTTCCTGGCATCAGTCAGCTTGCACCAAGTAGAGGAGTATATATATCTTGGGTGTATCCTTTGATCTTAAGGTCAACTACCGCACGGTCTGTGCTATTTTCGTCCTTCAATCAAAAATTGCCCTTGCCTTACAGAGTGGATGGTTCTTGTACATGACGGAGGGACTTGTGCAACGATAATTGTACAACGATTGTAAAAGATAAGAATACTGTACAAAGTATATTAGCATCTATGTCTAATCTATCTCACAAGGACTATTTGGTTGAACTATTCTTTGTTACTATACTACTTTTTAGTATGGGACGATAATATGCTTTTAAAGTCAGTTTTTGCCAAATAGTGCTATCTATAACTGGTCAAGGATACTATAACGATGCCCCCTTAGGAAGGCTTGGTAGAGGCTAAGACTTGTGAAGACTATCGATAGCCCCTTTGGAAGGGCTGTTTGAGGCTAGGACTTGTGTATCCTATCAATAGTCCCTTAGGAAGGCCTGTTGGAGGCTAGGGGGAGGCTATGACTTGTTTAATCTATCGATGACCCCTTAGGAAGGCCTGGTAGAGGCTAGGGGGAGGCTAGGCTTGTGTACCCCCCGCCCGTCGCCTTGGAAAGACCTGTTGGAGGCTAGGGGGAGGATAGAACGTGTGTATCCTATCGATAGCCCCTTAGGAAGGCCTGGGGGAGGCTAGGCTTGTGTTCCGGGCGAAGCCGTGCCACCTGCCCCTGCCCGGCGCCTTGGAAAGGCCTGTTGGAGGCTAGGTGGAGGCTAGGACCCTGTGTAACTCCCGTTCCGGGCGGAGTCCTGCCACCTGCCCCTGCCCGGCGCGCGCACGCCCCTTAGGAAGGCCTGGTAGAGGCTATGACTTGTGTACCCCCGGAGCCGTGCCACCTGCCCTTGCCCGGCGCGCGCACGCCCCTTAGGAAGGCCTGGTGGAGGCTATGACTTGTGTACCCCCGGAGTCCTGCCACCTGCCCCTGCCCGGCGCGCGCACGCCCCTTTCCCGTGGGGAATCTGACAGGGTCACGTGCCCCCGCTGCCGAAGGTCGCGCCGGACTCCGCAGAAACACATGGCGGCGTCTGGGTACGGGTGAACTTCACTCCGGCAGCGGGCAGCGTCTGGGCGAACTTCACTCCGGCAGACTGAGACTAATTCTTCTGTCACGCTGCCACAACCCGCCATAACTTATAACCGGCGCGATCGTCTTAAACCAGACCCATAAACAGTGGAGCTTAGAGACGCTCCAACTAACTACAATCAGCAAGGCGCGTTGTGCGCTAGCTGTAGGTTTTAAGAGTAGGTCAGCTTCTGAAGCTGACATGACGGCTTCATTTAGCACCAGATCCCCCCCCCCCGATTATCTGACCCTCACGCCCAACCCCCCAGGACAATCCCCGTGCGTCATGCCGAGAGAAACACAGACATTACGCCCTCGGTTCATTTCCCAAGCGTTCCCATAGCCGCGTCATTAAGTTCCCTGTTCCGCGTAGTTTGAGCTACGATATGAAGGTTACGTCTTATTAGAAACAGGCAGGCCCCACATATGCCCCAACTAGGCCGAAAGAATGCGGACAAGTGTATTTGCGAGTCTTGCACAGACAAGGCAGTGCCTGTCCAGGCTTAGTACGGAGCAGGAATCCCCACGTCTCCGTATGTGCACAACGGGGGTTGAACAGACCATAATTTGAGTCAATGGGATGTGGGGCGTAGACAAGCAGTTTCGTTAATTCAAAGCACTTGTTCAAATCATTGACCCGGCCGACTTCATCCCCGGCATTTATGGTGCACAGAGTTCGTCTGGAACAAATAGTTACTTGTATACAGAAGTGTAAAGTCACTATAACGCTTCTGTGTTGTTAGCTGACTACCTGTATTCAGTAACGGTTGGTTACAAAATCCATGGTGTTCAGACAGGGCGGCCAGCCGACAGCAATGACGAAACGTCTAACCTGACCTTTACAGTAAACCACTGCGCGCCGAAACCCCCTCCTGCAAAGTGTGAGAGTCCGTGCATATGTAAAACGCTTAACGGCAAGTTATAAAGTTAGTTAGAAACGCCCAGGAGGACACAGTAGCCGTTTGGGGGATACTGTGAGGGTCGGCTGTGCAGTGGTGATAAGGAAAGGGGCAAGACTGTGGGTGCGGAATCATGTCTGGCGTGACTTTGACTGTGTTTGTTCTCCTGGTTCAGGCGGCGCTGTTGTTGGAAGGCGGGCCGGCCCTGCGAGCCGGTCGGAGTCGCGGGCACGTCGTGAAGAGAGTGCGGCGGGACCACCATGAGGACGATTCCTGCACCTACACCTTCAGAATAACGGCGGCGGACGCCATCTCGTCTTCCTGCGCGGCGCCGCCCGGACTGCAGAACGTGACCGGAGAGCTCCAGGCGCTAGCCGCGCGGCTCCAGTCCGAGCTGGCCGAGGGGATGGAGCGCCTCACCGACAACGAGGATACCATCACTCGCTGCTGCGAGCAGGTCGCGCAATTGGAAACGCGTGTTCTCGAGGAGCAACTGGAACGCGCCAACCTCGCGGCTAACGTTGCCAACATGACGGGGAAGATCGACACGGCCATGCTGGGGGCGGAGCTGCGAGAGTCGCAGATGAAGACCGATATGGCGGAGAAGAACGGCGACCTGAACGCCGGCATCCTGGAGAACAGCCGCAAGATCGCCGAGCTGGACGGCCGCCTGACCAACGAGGTGAGTGGGCTTCAGGACTTAGTCTCTCGGGAGCAGCAGCAACGTTTACAAATGTTTACGCAACTAACGAACTACACAGCCGTCATAGATCAAACCATTGCCTCCCAAGCGGCCGCCATGGAGGACAAAGTCAATGGAATGTTGGCAGAGCGCGACCAGATTGAGGCAGGCGAGGCGGCCGCTAACGGCGCCCAGTGTTGTCAGGACCTGGAAGGTCGGTTCGCGAACCTGACTAGCGCCGTGATGATGCAGCAAGTAACGACTCAGAAACTCAAGCTCAGCCTGGAAGTCGAGGTCACTACCCAAGCCAAACAACTCGCGGCAGATTTAGAAGAGGAACGCCTGCTTCGCACACAGCTGCAGCTCCAGGTCGCCAACCAGACCACCGAAATCGAGAGATTGGACTCTCTGTTGAAAAGGGTTGACAGTAACGGGAACGGCGAGGCAGGTCCGGGTCCGCTGCAGGTGTTACCGCCCTCAGGTACAGGTGAGGCTGTGAATGGCCGGCCGGAGGCGCCGCTGTCAGAACCCGTGAAGCCCAGCGCAGAGGACCTGGCGGCAGTGCCGACCACGCTGGAGGGGCAGCGGGAGTACGTGGCCGGGCTGGGCGCTCAGCTGAAGGAGGAGCGCAAGCGGCTGGCCCAGCTCCTGATCCAGGTGGACGAACAGGGTCTCCGCGTGGCCGACATAGACTCCATGGAGGACAAAATCAGGGAGCTGGAGATGTGCTGCGAGAGCCTGAACGCTCAGCTCGCCGAGCAGCAGGACAAGCTGAGAAGTCTGGAGATCGACGTCGGGAAAGCACCGGACATTGTCGTGACGGAAGTCCCGCCGGACGGCACGATAGACGCGCTGCTGGAGGTCACAACGCGGGAGATCGAGAAGGTGAAGGAAGAAATCGACAGAGTAACTACGCGCGCTCCCCCAGGTGAGATCGTGGACGGGCTGACGACTGAAAAGAAGGAACTAGAGGACATCCGTACCACGCTGGAAACCATACGCGCCATCACAACGGCAGCACCTGGGGAGGAGTTCGCGACACCTGGACCTGGCGAGCCCGGGGTTATCGCACCTGGCGTCACACCTGCTCCAGGGGTACCTGTGGGACCCGGGGTTGGAGTTACAGCTGGCCCGGGGGCAGTGGCACCTGGCCGACCTGATGCACCTGGAGTCGTCGCCGTGACGGACGAGTACGGCCGCCCGGTGACGGACGAGTACGGCAGACCCGTCACCCAGATCGCACCTGCGGTCATCGCACCTGGAGTTACAGCTGCTCCAGGTGTTGCACCTGGATTCCGCCCGGTTACAGACGCTCTAGGCCGCCCTGTGACCGACTCTTCCGGAAGACCAGTGACAGAACCTGCGCCTATCGTCGTAACAGGCCCCGACGGCAAACCTGTCACCGACGCCTCCGGCCAGCCTGTGACGCTGGCACCTGGATTCCGCCCTGTAACTGACGCTGACGGCAATCCTGTGACCGACGCCTCGGGTAGACCCGTGACCGAACCGATCCCTATCGTCGTAACTGGCGCTGATGGCAAACCTGTAACCGACGCGTCCGGCCAACCTGTGACCCTAGCTCCTGGAGTACGACCCGTAACAGACGCTGACGGCAATCCTGTGCTCGACGCCTTGGGTAGACCCGTCACCGAACCTGTGCCTGTAGTCGTAACAGGTCCTGACGGCCGCCCTGTCACCGACGCCTCCGGCAAACCCGTGACGCTCGCACCTGGATCCCGCCTGGTAACAGACGCCTCCGGCCAACCTGTGACTGACGAATCCGGAAGACCTGTGACTGAAGCGGCGCCGATAGTGGTGACAGGCCCTGACGGCCAGCCTATTACCGACGCCTCCGGCCAACCTGTCACGCTGCCAGCTGGAGTCCGGCCCGTAACCGGCGCTGACGGCCAACCTATAACGGACGAGTCCGGCCAGATCGTGACCGAACCCGCACCGCTAGTCGTAACGGACGCCTCCGGCCAAATTGTGACCGACGCCTCCGGCCAACCCGTGACTCTGGCACCTGGTAGCCGTCTCGTAACAGATGCCTCCGGCCGCCCTGTGACCGACGCCTCGGGTAGACCTGTGACTGAAGCGGCACCGATAGTTGTGACAGGCCCTGACGGCCAACCTATAACCGACGCCTCCGGCCAGCCTGTGACGCTCGCACCTGGTTTCCGCCCTGTAACAGACGCTGACGGCAATCCTGTGACCGACGCCTCGGGTAGACCCGTGACCGAACCGATCCCTATCGTCGTAACAGGCCCTGACGGCCAACCTATAACCGATGCGTCCGGCAAACCCGTGACTCTCGCACCTGGAGTACGCCCGGTAACAGGCGCTGACGGCAAACCTCTGACTGATGCTTTCGGCAGGCCAGTGACCGAACCGATCCCTATCGTCGTGACAGGCCCTGACGGCCGCCCTGTGACCGACGCCTCCGGCCAACCTGTGACGCTCGCACCTGGATCCCGCCTGGTAACAGACGCCTCCGGCCAACCTGTCACCGACGAATCCGGAAGACCAGTGACTGAAGCGGCACCGATAGTGGTGACAGGCCCTGACGGCCAGCCTATAACCGACGCCTCCGGCCAACCTGTGACGCTGCCAGCTGGAGTCCGGCCCGTAACCGGCGCTGACGGCCAACCTATAACGGACGAGTCCGGCCAAATCGTGACCGAACCCGCACCGCTAGTCGTAACGGACGCCTCCGGCCAAATTGTGACCGACGCCTCCGGCCAACCCGTGACTCTGGCACCTGGTACCCGCCTCGTCACCGACGCGTCCGGCCAACCTATAACCGACGAATCCGGAAGACCCGTGACCGAAGCGGCCCCGACATTTGTGACAGGCCCTGACGGCCAGCCTATTACCGACGCCTCCGGCCAGCCCGTAACTCTGGCACCCGGTACCCGTCCGGTAACAGACGCTGACGGCAATCCTGTGCTCGACGCCTTGGGCAGACCCGTAACCGAAGCGGCGCCGATAGTTGTCACAGGCCCTGACGGCCAACCTATTACCGACGCCTCCGGCCAACCCGTAACCGTGGCGCCTGGATCCCGCCTCGTCACCGACGCTTCCGGCAAACCTGTGACCGACGAATCCGGCAGGCTCGTGACAGAACCGGCACCTGTTGTCGCTACCGACGCCTCCGGCCAACCTATCACCGACGCCTCCGGCAGACCCGTGACCATGGCACCCGGTACCCGTCTGGTAACAGACGCGTCCGGCCGCCCTGTGACCGACGAATCTGGCAGGCTCGTGACCGAAGCGGCACCGACATTCGTGACAGGCCCTGACGGCCAGCCTATAACCGACGCCTACCGGCCAACCCGTAACTCTGGCGCCAGGTACCCGTCCAGTAACAGACGCTTCCGGCCGCCCTGTGACCGACGAATCCGGAAGACCAGTGACTGAAGCGGCACCGATAGTGGTGACAGGCCCTGACGGCCGCCCTGTGACCGACGCCTCCGGCCAGCCCGTAACTCTGGCACCAGGTACCCGTCCAGTAACAGACGCTTCCGGCCGCCCTGTGCTCGACGCCTTGGGCAGACCCGTGACGGAAACAGCACCTGGATTCCGACCCGTAACCGACGCCTCCGGCCGCCCGGTGACCGACGCTCTAGGCAGGCCCGTCGTGGAACGCGTGGAGCCGATTGAAGAGTTGACAACGGGCGAGATCGACGCCCTTGTGACCAGGCTGCCCGGCGTGCGACCCACCGCCGCTCCGGGCGAGGCCATCGGCACCACTGACGTCCTGAGGTACATCACCACGGCCATGATAGAGGCACCGCGCGAGACCACCGCCGCCATCAAGGACATCGTCGGCCCGGAGGAGCCGGGGGTAGAGGCCACCACCGCTATGCTGGACAGGATCGAGGAGGCGACCACCGCACCGGGTCCAGTCGTAGGTCAGTCACATCACTTTGTAGAATGTCTTTGTACATCACTTTGTACTGTCTAAAGAATAGCAAAGTTCTTTGATCACAACCATTTATTTTTCGCGAGCCGACGTTTCGATTACCGTCTGTCATCTTCATCGATCAGGGCAATTCTGACTGGTTTGACACTAGATGAACCAAGTAACAGTGCACTGTGAACTATGTAACACCTTTAGTGCACTATGCACCAAGTAACATCTAGTGTCAGTGCACAGCAAACCAGTCAGAATTGCCCTGACGAAGATGACAGACGGTCATCGAAACATCGGCTCGTGAAAAATAAATGGTTGTGATCAAAGAACTTTGCTATTCATTCCTTTACCAACCTGATGAAACTATTTACGGTTTGTAGTGTCTAGTTCACATGCAATAGTTAGTATATGTAGCACAGGGGATTCATTTCCCAAGCTAACCGACGACTCGCACACAAATAGACGACTGCGTGTGCAAGATAGATGTCTGTTAGCTTGGGGAAAGAATCCCCTGTACTATATACTAGTTCACATGCTCTATTTAATGCTGAGGTCACATTTCCAAACCGGGGCCCGGTCGGGCTGTTTAGATTAACGAAAAACCAACAATTTATATCAATGATATACGCAAATAGTTCCCATTATCAATTTTTTAAACTTTTTGGGGCTTTTCGTTCCGTAAGACTGCCCGGCCGGGCCCCGGTTTTGAAATGTGACCTTAGCATAACCGAGGTCCTTCCAACAGGTCAGTCCTGGCTGACTTACTTACTCTTGGGGCAAGAGGGGAGGGGGGCACTTAGCCTCTACCAGGCTTCGGGAGGCGGCTGGAAAGAGTAGAAATCGGCCAAATAGAGAGAGAT